GGGCTTATTTTAGGGGGGGGAGGGGTGGTGGTTGTTTGACATTATGGTTTAGGGGAGTGGGCATTTATTCAGAGGAGGACACTTTCTAGTACATGGGCACTCATTCAAGGAAATGCTGAGCGAAAAAGTACTATGAAAAAATATCATGAAAAAATACCGAGGAAAAATATGTGAGAGCAGTTAATAATTATGTATAAACAATGTGAATTGCCATCACTAGCTAGTGTAAAGCACCAAAGTTAAGAAATATTTAACCTCACTTTTAATACATTCACTTCTTCTTTCAATTTTGCAACTGTAGCTTCAGCTCTGAGAGCTCTTCGTCAAAAAATTAAAATAAATAAAGAGATTCAGTGAATTTTGAACTCAAACATGTTCATTAGGACTCCCTTGTTTAATATTGTTAAATGATAAGTGGAATATTCCTTGTCAATAATGAACAGAAACTTTTTTATGGTGTCTTTTCAACATTTATTAATTGGCAATTGTATTTTTTTTCTCTTGAAGGTTGATATTAGGCTTTATCAACTTTATATAATTATCAATATGACTTTTAGCTATCTTCAGAAGAGTAGGGAACTAAGTTAACAGATTTGCATCAAATGCCTTGGAAGCCTAGATGCTGTAATAGACTTGTTTCAAATCAATATCACTGCTATCAAAATATTCATAGCCTACACTCCTTTAAAAAACTATTCATTCTGACACAGCCTGAATCACCAAAGCACCCGAACCACCCCTGGATCTTCTCCAGACCATTTGCAGACTATTTTCTAAACATACTACAGAAAGATAAGTGTCCTGCTTGCGGACAGAAATCCTCCGGATGTGGTAGCCGGAACCACTTCAGGAGTGTCTGCAAGAAATCCAAATCACGCGAAGTTCACAGGATCTCTGAAACGGCAGAGGATCCCTCATCAGAAGAAAGCCACATCGCATTTCTCGCTGAAGTTGCTCCAGATTCTCAGGAAACTGATGTCCATGCTGTCCAGTTCGCCAAAGAAATTTATGCCGAGATGTTAATTGATAAGAAAGAGGTCAACTTTTAGATTGGCTGTAGAGCATGAATCAACATCATCCCAACAAAACACGCAGAAGGTCAAGAAATCAATTCGACAATGAAAACAGTAATTGCGAATGTGGAATGGATCACACGTCAAACCCATTGGGACGGCATGAATCGCCATTGAATCGCCATGTGCAGTCCCAAAACATGAAAGAAGTACTGTGTGGAGTTTGTTGCTGTCATGAATTATCTAACACCCTTTATCGGAGCAAGAGCTGCACAATGAATGGAACTTATAACTGTTAATGATGAAAACTTCATTATGACCATGCCCCCTGCCCCTAAGAAATGAACTGCAGGTTAAGCAGATAATTGCTAAAGAGCTGATAAAGTGATATTCAGATGTATTTGAGCGACCATTGGGAACATTACCTGGAGAAGTCCATTTAGAAGTTGACAACAGCATTAACCGTGTCACCACTTCAACCCAAAGAGTTCCTACGGGTTAACTCTTCTCTGAATACACATGAACATCTGTTATTCTATTAAGAGACTCAAGCTGTTGTGATAGGA